TATGTCTATTCTTAAACAAGTAAAGTGCTATTATTAGTGCACAGGTCTTGATAGCCATAATACAAATCAGAAGGTGTATGTGCACTAATAAAAGTTTTTAGCATGGTTGCGATACGTATAAAAATCAATACAGTGTGAAATGGGAGCGAGTCAAAATGGAACTCAGTCATTTCCGAAAACTTAGATGACACCTACACTTATTTTGGAAACGCCACTATTTGTGAGACTTCCCAAAGTAAGCATAAGATTAACTTCCAATCTTTTCATGAAGTGGCCAATAAATATGAAATTACGGTTTAATGCAGTAAAAGCATCATGGTTAGATACGCGTTCCCGGCAATGAAATCTCCGAAACGGTGCACCCTATTCGTCAACGACGGTAATCCAACGAGCGCGTTTTTGGCATGTTTGCTTATTACTCTCAATGGATACCATGCTTCTATGAAAATATCAGCGTGCTTGTCAAGAATGAAACACCGTCCATACCGAAGTGTTTGCTAAAGTTCTTCGAAACTTCAATGAGAGATTTAGAGAACGCTTTGGTTGTGACTGTCATCAACAATGCATCCTAAATTGTTGAGATGGGTATGGTCGCTGCTGCATCTCTGTCCCAGAATTGCCAACCGGTGTCGCCGCGCGAAATAACCACTCTACGATTAAGAGAGAGAGGCATATGCCGTCGTGGGGTTTTCCGTAAACGGAACATTATATCTCCGGAAAACACTTCAAGCATATCACCAACCATCGGTCGGTTTCCTTTATGTACAGTGTGTCACGAAAAAGAAAGATAAAATAGATAAATTCCAGTGGTGAATAATGGAACTCGCCGCCCCTAGCTACGACGTCAACCACAGACCTGGAAAGGACAACTTTATGCGCCTTATGGCGCCTTATGCGCCAATATGATCGGCAATAAGGTAATAAAAGCCTTCATGACTCCTTATGCCATCCCGGAATTACTCGTATGCACCACTTGGTCCTTTGCAGTTTTTCAATCAAGATGAGAAAGAGAGCACTTCAAAATGTACAGTTTCTGCCGCCGTCAAAAGGCAATTTTACAACTCAATTCTCACTTCTCTTATCAAAGTGATACAACCCTTCAAACTGATTAACATAGACTTCGTTCTTTGCCCCCTGTGACTTTTAGCCACTAACTTCTGGCTACTATCATTCGTAGGTTCTCCAGTTTTCACTTGCTTTATCCTTTCGGACAAATGTGCATCTGCCGTTTTTTGTATGTCTATCTTAACTGTTCCCTTTGTTTGTTATATCTGTCGACATGCATTCGGGTCGTGGCCTAGATAACCATCACACGACTAACATTTGCATTTATGACCCATCATTTGGTTTCGGTAAAGATGAGATAGCTTGCTGTACTCAATGTCTAAGGGATCTCCATCGGTGTGCCAATGAGAAAAAAATAGTTCGACTTTGTACTCGCATCATCCGATAGGATACAGCTAATACTAGTCCACAGAGTAAGCCCATTTTGTAGATATTCGATCGCAACGCAAAGCATCCTGACAGCTGGTGACATGATATATGTTTAGTCGAATTCCTTTGATTTCATTCAGCTTCCAGCTTTCATTATTGCCCACATCAAACGATACACTTGTAGTGTACTTTTCCTCACAAATTTTCAGTCATTCGTCGGACGGTCAAGCGGAACTGATCCGTATACACCTGATGGTATTCATTTTGACTGCATTGTATCCTATGATAGCCCCATGTAATCTTCAACAAAATTTAACACTTCACGCAACCTTCGCATAAGAGTAGCCGTCATGGGGAGTAGAGTTGGCGCATGAGGAAATTAACTAAGTCGGGTAACCCCTTGTCTGAGCTATATTGGGGCATAAATCCCAAGCGGTCGGCCTTAGAACGACGTATTCCATGACGTTTCTCTATGAAAAGTGCAGTCATTTGCTTTGTGGTAGACCACTAAGAAGTATAGCAAGCGCATAAGTAGGCACAAGGTATAAATTTTACGGTTGAATGGAAGGTTGAGTAGAGTTCCATGTGAATTCATTTCTTCTAGATTTTCCATTCCACTAAATTTGGAACTGCTTTTAAGAATGCCGGTTCCTTTTTGGAGTGCATATTTGAAATTATCTTATCATCCCGTGCATAAGTTGCGAAAAATATGAGATATGGTTCCTAAATGCGGTTAGTAAATTCATTTGCACCAGAGTTCAACCCATCATGAAACTCTTCAGTGTAACATGATGGTGTGGAAGGTACAAATCTCTAGGTACAACGGGTTCACAGAAGGTCTTAAGGTGATCTGACCAACTTAGAACGTACTGGTATACCTGAGTAGCATGCAAGCTGTCTTAATGTGTCAAATGTTGACAAGGGGTCTACCTATATTGTTCGGCCAATAAGGTACTCAGGCATGCACACATACACGGTGGTAGTGTGAAAGGCTTACTTGAATGAAGCTGATTGCGATCGTTCTCACAGGAAACGGGGACTTAGGAGAACAAATCAATATCGACTTCAAATGACCATGACTTTTTAGCTGGGATACCAATGAAAATCGGTGAACGTACGACAGCTTCGACGGAATCCAAAGTGTGCGCCATGCTTAGTGTGTTTTCTGCAATTATACTGTAGACCATTTTTAGACTCCCTTTGTCTTATGATCAACATACTGAGTTCGCATTCCCATCCGTCCATATAATCGTGTTACGTTTTGGCGCACGGAGACCGCTGTATCATCTTCACAGATAAAGTCCATGCTGGAGTACTTTCGTTTGCTTTGTCAACTCAACATAACCAAGAGCAAGAGGCAGAGATGTTGAGTTTTTCCAAATCTATTTTACCCGCATAAGCCGCCAAACGTTTTATTGTGTTTGTGTTTGAGCGTTATGAAGAAACATTTTCGTCTCAATGAAATTGTTGACAGTCTGAGTGTTGGCTAAAAGTTAAGCAATGTTGACAGCTTTATTACGAAACATATGTTTTAACCGGGTTACTTATTTCGCGTCTGGTAGGACTCACTTTGCTTGTAAGAACATAAGAATAATCTAATGTGACTACACCCAGCTGCTGACTTACAAAATATCGCATTATCATAAAGTGTGATTGACGGACTCGTTGACGTGGCTATGGTTTTGTGAGCCGTATCGTTTATTCTGACGTTTAGCGTTGCTAAATGAATCAGGCCAGTGGTTTTATTCCACGCTGGTAGAAAGTACGCGTTAGTTTTTTCATCCCATTCACTGGATTGGAAGTTTGCCTCTGTCAAAACGTGAATCAGAGTAAACATATATTTAGGAAGCTTCGTCACAGTGGTTTTCAGACTGAGTGGTCCAGGCTCTCTTTTATCATATCGCATTTTCGAGTAATCCGGCAAAAATTCGGCCTTCTCACTTATGATTTTTAAGAAAGAAGTGGACATCCATTTCTAACTTATGATTATCACGGCAAATGGTTATAGGCTTCAAACACTGTCAGTTCTGCAGTTATTCTTTAATCAGTTATTTTTTCTATAAAAAAACGGAAGCATGCGCTAGGGTTCATACTGGTTCCACCCCAAATGAATGTGTATTATATGGTGAACAAATTAGCAAAGATTCAGAAGAGCATCTAGAAATCTCCTAATGTTATAATTTCTGGTATTATGGGCATAAACATCGCAGCATGTTGCGCTCAGTATGGTTTCCAGTGATGTTGAGATAGTCATTTCGCAATACTAACTGGCAAAATATTAAACAGCAGCCATTGCAGTTAGGGGACTGAATATGATCAACAGACCTGATACAGCTACTTGACGACCTAGTTGTAGATGGTCAACAGATACTGCATGACTGACGCGTAGAAACAGAATATTTGAGCAATAACTCCGTATTCCCAGTGTTTCTATACCCTAACCAAGGTTTATTTATTGTCTGTCCTTTATTTACAATAAATCTTTCTGGAAACGCATTGCATTTCATGTCTCGAAATAATTCGATCCACTTACTGTTCTAAGTTAGATTTTTTCTTCAAAATATGTTGTCATCTAGCGCACAAAGTTGGTGGGGAATCTATAAATGGAAATTTGTTGCAATATATCTAATAGCCGCTAAATAAAATTCTGTCTTTCCACGAAGACGACAAATACCAATTTAGGCATAATGGTCAACCAAGATGTTGGCGGATAATTGTTTGAGCAGAAGACAGATTATCAAATAAGATCAGATGAATAAGTACCGTCCAAAAAATATGCGGTTGCTTTTTCTTCATAAAGGAAACTACCTACAGCCCGAGACAGATTTCGCACTTCTTGGAGCTTATCAGGTAGTCACAGTTTCCGAGTTTCCGTCAACCTTATGTTCTGCTTGAAACCAAATGGGACAAATTTTCACAAATACACTCAATTGCAAGTTAATTTGCTTTTCACGGGTGGCTCTTATAAATCCCCCGTTCTTCAACTGACTGCACTGCACACAAACCGCCTCACGTTGTAGTTAGTACGATATTCGAGAAATCACAAAATATTTTCATAAAGGAAACTACTCACAAGTTTGCTGATAACTCTCCGGCAATCCACGACCGGCTTCGCCCGGCAAAGTATCGTCCTGTTTTGTTTTGTACATGGAGACGAAGGACAAAATGTCCTGGGGCTGATGTCAACCCGACCCACATAATATACAAAAAACAGCATTAAGTTCTACAATTGCCTGATTTCCAGCGCTCGACTTTGTGTTTTAGACGAGGGGAAAAGAAAATAAGAAGTCTACTCCTGGTGCTATTGGTTACCTGTATCTGTAGCTTTACTGTATATGTAATGCAAATTCCAGTAGACTGTTCAATGGGTATCTGGTTTAGGATCATATAATCGGTTCAATAAATATCAACCAACTGCGGAAAAATAGTAATTTTTAAAGTGGTCTGTGGCTTTTTTCTCTGATATTCACAAAAATCTGAAAGCCTTAAAGGTGATTCCTATTATGAAAATCGCCTTCCCGGGAAATAACAACAGGAAAAATACCTGAGAAAGCCATACTTATGTTTTATTCACTCGCGGGACAAAACAAATGGAGTATAAGCAAACAAATTAAGGTCATGATAGCACTTGGAATTCGGGATACTGCATGACCAGTACACAGATCTCGGTAGCAGCATTTTACTTTAACGGTGACAAGGGATCCTGCGTCTACACCCTTGGTTGGTGGACAAACCGGGGAACACGTAATTGATAGGGCCCGTAGTTTTCTGCCGGAATAAGTTCTTGAAGTCTGTTTGAAGTGAAGAATTGTATAAAAAAAATACACGAAATACTACCCTTGGGGCTAATTTCACAAATGCTAACCTGATTTTCTGACATCAAAGATGTTATCTACGCTAAGAGCGTCATTTATAGTACGTGAGTAAAACTTGCATTCTAGGTTCATCTTCTATGTAGTTGCATCGACAGATTATGAGATTTTGCATAGATATTTCAACGGGATTTGTGTAATTACCACATGTCTCCAGCACACACTTTTCTCTCAGGTTTTTTGCAACTACGATCGCTTAACTAAATAGATGTACGAAGTATTGATATTAAGTAAATTCAATTAACCATAAAACCAAAATCGTTTCCTGAAAAATATGGTGAAAACGCGTCCATGGCAAGCTTCAGAAGACATATTTACTAACCGCTTATCAATGGTAGTTACAAGCAGACAGATATCTTTCCCATTGTTGACCCAAAGTGGGTTTCTTTTGGTTAGTATTCTACCGCTTATATCTGCTCAGTTTACTTAGAAGAAATGAGATTATGGGAGTGAGATTGAACGAGAGTATATCAAATGACCCGATCAGCAAGCATTTGTTGGGTTCCGCATCCTAACGCGCGTGGTGCGCACCAGTGAGTCTAGTTTGTTGCATTCAGTCTTCAGAAAATGCATGTTATTGAATGCATAAACTAGATTCGCTGTTTCACTGGATTTGTTCCATGGATTTGCTGTTTTATTATAATCCTTACTGCAAAATCACTCTGAGCATCAAGTCTCATAAGCACTCCCATGTTGCAGTATTGTCCTATAGCCTCTAGCACCAACGATACATTTATTGATATGTTCAATTTTTTCAAGCTAACAGATCCTTCATGTCCTCGTTTAATAAAATCACCCAAATTTCCCTTACTCGTCCTAAGTATAGGCTGTTGCCAAGCGATGGCTCCGTTCTCCTGATATTTATCTCTTACTCAGGTTCTACTTTTAGTTATCCATGTCCCACACATTCTGACCTTGCGTCCTGGATACCAGTTTTTTTCAGCAGAGGGGAAGTTATGTTTTGACAGTTTATATTCTAATATATATTGAATTATTGTATTGCATTTTGTCAATATCATTAGCTGCTTTTATTATAAAAAATCAAACTAGGATGCATACTGCTATGGATAGAGCTATATCGCCGTTTGTTTCTCTGTGGATTCTAACAGAAAATGTACCCTGCTTACATTGAGTACAACAGAAATTTGCTGAACACTTCGATTCTTTGAATTCCATTCGCTACACGAACACAAAAACATTTCACAGGAATCTGATCACTGTGTCAAGTTAAGAACACGTATTTTTTGCATTCATCCAAAAGAAAGAGACTGTGTGATTTATTGGATGAAAGTTGGGGAATAAGCCACAAACTGAACCGAAAAGTTAGCTTTCTGGCAATGTTGTGGACATAGGTGGCACTTAAACCCGCACTGATGATGTCACCCCGATTGGTGATGAAACCTTCGCAATCCAACTTCCAAGCTCGGTGAACTGACCAACAACCAAGTTAGCTTTCCATCACTAAAAAAATTGATGATCTACCCCGTGTTCCATATGTCTTATTTCACTCAGTGCACCATGCTAGACACTGAATGCAGAGGAATAGGTTCACATGCCAATTTTCCGGGAAATAGACAAGAATGCTATAGCAACTAACTTTTCCTGTGTGGCCCGCCTGACAATGAACGAATAAAATGTGTCAATTAATAAGTATGCAACATAATTAATGTAATACATCTAGCAGGTACAATCGAACATAATACCTGTTTGTTGACCTTACGTTGGCACGCTGTGAAAAGGATAATATTGCAAAAAGCACCCTAGAAAATAACTTCGACAACATAAACACCATTATACAAATATTACAGAATATGGAGTGTAAGGCACGTACCAGGCAAGTCTTACAGTTTGTTTTCACTGGAACCTCTCCCTCCTTTGGGTTTTCAGGACATTTAGCACAATCAAAACATTTCAACGCAGTGACTAAAACCCAATATTGGTATGACGAATTTTTCCACTCACCGGTTGAAAATAGGCCGAAAATCAGCAGGCAAAAGGCAGTGCAATATACCACCATCTCGTTGGCGTTAATCAGGATTTGGAACTGGATCACTGCTTATGGATGCTTCTCCACTAATGGACGGAGTATTATATTCGTTCGCTGAACAAAAATTACAATGGACTAACAAGCATCGACGAGTAACTATAAACCCTTACGACAATAAAAGAAAACCTGCTGGCCTGACGAGTTTATGCATGAGAAGGTACGTTCACTTATCAGCAATGTAGGTAGAAAACGCATTGAGTGAGACATAATACCACGTCTTTAAACTGGGGTAACCCGTCGCATTTGGCCTCACAGGAAGGTATCAAGCTGTTTTCGTACAATATACGTTGACTCATCGTGATGCATCAGGACATCAAACTACATCTTGTCATCAGTTTTAGTTTTTTTTAAGCATGCGAAGCTCATTATAATTAGCAAATAATGCGAATATATCTTATTCTCAACAGTTTGGTTTAAATATGGCTGATAGTTTATACTTCATGCGTAAGGTCAGTTCTAATATCATTCATTTTGTGAAAGCCACATGAACATAAGGTGATTTTGGGATTTCGTGAAAATCAACAGCTTTGCGAGTACTGAACAAGAAACCTTGGATTTGCTAGCTATTAAAGATGTACATCTATCTTTATTCTGGAGCATCTCGAATAGTCTCATCGGTTTCGGGTAGAGTGTGACACTTCACGATTCGTTGTGGGTTTTTGGCTTCAGGCCCACCGGTGACTACGGGCTCATTCAGATAAAAGTTCAGTAGTAAACGAACAAGCCTCAGTAAATTAGCCAACCCGCGGAAAAAATGCCTAAGCAGACATGGTTATTTGTAACGGATTTTATGAGTATCATACATTAAATATGAAAATTTTCGGAAACTTTTACAACAATTTGTGTCATCACCTTTTGTGTGTTTCTTCGATATTCTTCAAGAAAATCATTTATTTGTCTCTTTAGAGGATTGTCCACGCACACTTTACGTTACTTGAGGAAATGAACGGAGACTTATGTTCCAGCTAGAAGAGCAGTTGGCTTATGTAATTACTGCCTGGAACTCCTAATAACACTACTGTGATTTTTTTGCTGTCTAGTAGACAGCCAAAATCGCATGACAGCACGTATCTAATTTATTCAACAAGGTAAACGTGCGTCGCCTCATGTTGAAGCATGGTCCATCGCAAGTCCGCAGGACAAACTTCAGGTATATCAAATGTGTGATATGCTCATTTGGGGTGACGCTAGAATAGCAAACCGAAACAGCTCCGGGAAACTCTCATGAGCGCTTTGCGCTGTGGTCACCGGTCTGTTGCCAGATTTATTGTGTGGTTAAGGTCTGTGAAATCATTAAACTTGATCAGTTTCGGAAAGCGGCAATTTTAGGAAGATACAAAATCTCCGAAAATGTTGGTTTCCGAATACTTCAAAGTATTGTTGGCTCCACAAATAACCAAACCATCGGATCTAAACAAGATTAGACATTATGAAAATGCCTTAAAAGGTTATGCAGGTTTGTATTAATCATCGAAATACAAATGAATTTATTCCAGGTCTATTATCACCGTAGGTCTTATCAGAACGCTAGACATATGTGATTTTACAGTGCCCTTCCTCTTTGCACATGCTTGCTTACCAGCAGTTGACACTTCACCACCCGAATTACCTGTCCGTTGATAAGTCTGAGCACGATGTAAACGATTTAATCGGCAAATTTCATCATGCGATTATTGTGATCGCAGTGTGACCTTTTTAACTGCCAATAGGGCTGTTTTTTTACTGCGGTTCCTTCTGTAATATCACGTGAGCTGCTGGTACAGTGCACATAACACATTCCAAGACACTGCTGAAACGGGTCGAAAGTGACACACTGCGTTCTGGTGGCTAGATAAACAAGGACTCCATAAGTTCATTGAGATGGTCCTAGGGTGGCGGACCTTGGGCAGCGACGATTGACAACAACCAAGACCACAATTGCCAAATTCCATTTTGCAGATTTGTTGAGTACACAATTCACGCCAGGCTTATGATTGCGAGAGGACTTGGGTCTACTGTAGTCCAAGTGAACCGGCTGTATATTGTTTGTCTTCCAAACTGAAAATGAGTTCTCGAATCCTTATATTAACATTCTCTGATTTATCAGTCATATGACTTATAGTGCGCTTCACAGTTCAAAACGGTACCGTTCTGCACAAACCGTCTCCTCGATATATTACTGGTAAAATTTCAGCAATAATATCCTTCTGTTAACGTTAATATCTGATAACACTGATAGCAAAAGTCAAAATTGACGCATGAATTGGTACACCGCACTATCCTATACGTTAGTTATTTTGTCTGGAGGACCATAATAATGCGGATCCGATCCTACATCTTCCAAAATTATGATGGATCATCTCACCCACGAGAACTGTCGTGTCACATTTCGTCCAATATTACTTGACTGTTTACTTATATTTTTTCGGGCCTGGAAGATGGAGTTTTTTGAACGATCTGTCAGTTTACCACGATTGTTATTACAGAATTTGGCAGGGACGTGCTAGTGTTTTATGATTTCACTGAGAGTTAGTAGGTTTAATTTACCTTAGCCATCCATAATGTCACCGCTACTCATGCACATCCCCCCACTTGACGTTGGAATGGTGCAGATAAATACGGAATTCAAAGTTACATCGTGCCGTTTTGAACAGCTCTCCACCTATCTCGGTGTATTTATTCTGGTAATGGAATAGGATTGCTCAACGCCGCAATCAAAAACAAGTTGAATGCAACTTCTGAAAACTCGGTATGAACTTATACTTGTTTTAGCTGCTGTGTTCGTCAAAACGCGCAGAGAAATGTTACTGATCATGGAAGTCAATTGAATGATGTAAGACTGGGGGGTGAGTGAAAAATGGGAATTTTTACTCATCAACAGGGATCAGGTTTCATACATTTTACCGAAGTGACGATGAGCTTACGAATTGATATATGCAAAGGTTGTAAGTGTGTTAAACGACAATTGAAATGAAGAACAGGTGCAGTTAGTGGAATATCGCTATTACAAAGTCTGAAAATTGACGAAACATATTGTTAAATACTATGCTTCCTCTTATAGTGGGTCGTTCTGATGGTTTGCTGGAGCCACTCTCCCAGCGCCGAAAAAAATGTAGCAGGTTCACACTTTGATGCGAGATAATCACAACTTTGGGTGCCTCCTGTTTCCATATCCTCTGCTGCTCCTCTTTTGAAAAGTGGAACTTTAAAGTGTTCTTTTCCTGAGAAACGTTTGAATTACTTCACTTTTTTGTGAGACGGATGGACAAGTGAATGTCATACAGATGCGACTATTCTGGTTGTCTGAAGTATCCACCAGAAAACCTGAACTGCTAATTATGAATAGCGCGATCATTTCACTGAAGTGTTAGGTAGATACTCAAGAATGAGCATATGGGATAATGCTCTTTGGCAGGAGGAGACGTGAAATACCCTGGGAGACACCAGTAACTAAATGTGATGTGTAGAGTTTTTATGATTTCACCATCTGCAATTTTTTCTTTACTAATAAGCTACCCATTGATTCTTTTAATTTAGGCCAGAGGTTTCGCTTTCTGGTGTTCATTTAGCACCTCTTTGCGATCAGTTGTTTGCCAAGTAGCCTAGAATGGGTAGCAGAAAACCTACGTCAAAAGATGACTGAGAATTATTAGGATAAAGAGCGATTGGTGAATATACCCTACAAAAACCGGGATTACTATGCGTTCATCGTAGGTAAATGCTTTTCGTACACCACGAGCACCATTGTGTGATTTATTTCAAAAATATTTTTGCGGAACACGTTCCATCATTCTCATTAAGACATCGACTCACAGAAGGCTTAAGTGGCTTTTGCTTGAGATTGTTCCTCTGTGATCTCTTTTGGAAAAATCGACTCCGCATAGTTCTCCAAAATGAACAGTAATAACTATCGCCGTTGCTGTGTTTCGGGGTGGAGATCCAAATGATTGTAACCGCAGCGGAACAGTAAATCCTCTTGGCGCTAAACGCGCAATCGAAAATTTGACCAGCAAACGTTCAAGTTGTCCTGAATTTAGAATAGTTTCTTTCTGATAGCAGTTATGCACCGGAATTATATGCAATCAAAAACTGCTGCGTATCTTTAGAATGAGATTTTTTGAACCCTTTGGAGAAATGATGACAAAAAATAAATTGCAAAATTAGACGAGTCAGCATGCGCCATAGGTTCTCGCTCGTGATACCAAAGTGCAGAATCCACCACCGGACAGGGTAAGAGTAGTGAGCTTAGTTGTTCTTTTCCATAGGTATCGCTTATTCATGCGATAACTGTATAAACGAAGGTATTGATTACTGCCCAACTTTCGGTGTTGTCAGCCCTATCACTGTACAGACTGGGATGGAATGGAAGCCACCATTCGAAGTTTATCAATGTTTGCCCGGCTGGAACTGATTTCCTCTTCACGGATTTGTGTAATTTGTGTCTCTGTGCATTTCGCCGAATCGACGTGAACAAATTATTTTGACTGGATACGGTAAACCCCAGTCAACAAACTTGCTAAGACAAATTACAGCCCAACACAAGCTGCGTTTTATCTGAAGTCCTCAGGAAGTGCGACACTTCTTGAGATTGTGCTTTTTCAGAAGGGTTGAAGCTTTGAGCATACTCTGTCCTGTTATATTGGACACACTAGTAGCATAGTCGTCGGCTGTATTGGACACGCTGCTTAATTTGAAATAACTCGTTTCCACAGAATTTATGGACTTTCCCCATGTCTGGTCACTCTTGTCTGTAGCGTTCACGGATCAGTCTGATTCGTCATGTGTCAACTTTGCTGGCATCGTCTTGGTCTGCTTGGAATTCGTAGTTCAAAAATTGGTCGCCCTAATATAAAGAACTTGTGACAGATCGAGTCATTGCAAACAACTTATCGCAGCACATTGACTCCCCACACAAATACTCGTTGCATATCCTTCGCCACGAAGTAGTTTCGTAAAAAATAACCCAACCACATAGTTTACAAGGTAAGTAG